ATTCATTTCTTATCAGAACTTTACACTTAAATTTATGGATACTTTAAATTTGATACTTTCCAAATGTAAAACAGAGTAGATATCCTCCTATTTAAGGAAAGACTGAAACTTCAATTATTCATATTACTAATTTTTACATCATTAGAGCTAAGACTCCTGGGTAGATCCATTAAAACTTCCATTATTATAATCTATAAGACATATTAACCAGAGAGTGAATATATTCATTCACTAGCTCCAAATGAAAGGCAATCTCTTCTACTTTCTCTTAATTAACCCTATTAATTTAGACATTTAAAAAATAATTATCCCAAGCTTTTTTTTAGATATTTTTATCAATTGAACATTCCAAGAGAAAATTCATATTATTGCTACCAAAGGTTGAACAAAATTTATAAAACAATACACTTAGCTAATTAAAAATACATTTACTTATACATTCTTAGGAACATTGTCTATTTTGAAAATTCTTATTAATTACAATAAAGTATAACTAAATATATAGCTGAGAAGAATCTATTTTTACTCCTTTAGATGCTAAAAGAGCACATATAATTGGTAGTTTAAACTCTTACTTCTATCACCTTTCCTAAAATTAGAAAAGAAATTTTAGAGATTTTCTCCAATTTGTTGTTTAAGCTTGCCTAATGAAAACCAAAGATATGATCTAATTATTTATTTTAATTAAATTGCTAAAGTTAATAATTAGTTTAAGTGGTGAAGAGAGATCCTCCTCCCAGAATGTTCTTCCATTTACTATTTAGGGGCCTTTATTAAAACAAAAAATGAAAGCACTCTTGATTCTTTTAATTTAAGTTAATTGCTATGAACTAGATCTTAATTTCCTACTAGGAATCCAGAAATATTGGTCCATATTATTTTTAAAAAATATTTTCGTGGATTTGGAAATATTTGATAGAAATAATACTTAAACCCTAATTAGTTTCGTTTAATTATATATCAACTCCAATTAATTTAAATTTACATTTGATTGAGTATTTAATATGGCTACAATCAATAAAGAAGCAAGCTAAGCCTAAGGAAGTTATTAGGAAGCATTAATGATTCGAAACTATAGTTATCGTAAGTTTATTATCAAAATATTTAGTAAATTTTCATTAAAATTTGCTACATTTGTTAGATTTATAATTATTTTTCATATGAATTTCAATTATTTACATTCTGGTTTTCCAATATACCGATAATTGCCAGAGCAAGAGTATTTATACTTTCATTATTATCTTAATTGTGATTTTTAGCCATCACAAGTACTAAAAGATAGAAGTTTGTTAAAAATAGTCATATCAAGTGGACATACATCATAATAGTTACATAAATAATTAATTTTCATGATTATTATTGCACTTTTACAAATCTAATTTGAGAAATTAGAGCGAGATTGAGTAAAATAACATCCCAATCAACTTTATTATAGCCTATACTATACTATATAATTGGCAAACCTCATTACTAAATAGATTAGTAATAAACTCAAATTAGTTTTTTTATATACAGATTAGAAATTATATAATGCATACAATTAAACAGTAAGAAAAAAAAATTATTATGATGATTGTTTATTATTAAACTCTGTTTAAATATATTAGGGTCTGTAGTCATGAGATAAATGAAATACCATTATAATCTACATACAGTCTCCATTCACTACACGTTCCATAAATTCCATTAAAACGTATTTTCAATTAAAATTAATTATAGTTTTCTAAACCTCAACATTCATTTTTTATTTTATTAGTAGTATCCTCTATACAAACTAAATCTTTTCATATTTAATTTTAGATATCCCTTTTTAAAGGTTTCAGCTTCTTTCTTAAATATGATCAAAATAGAAGGATCTAACTAAACATTGCAAATTAGATTATTGTGTGTAATTAATCCTAAAAGAATCTGAACATTCTTATATTTTATAAATAAATTATTAATCAGCTATTTCAAAAATTTGTTTCATCTAAAGGTTTAATTAAAATTATTACTATCTTAATATAACATTGCAAAGAGTGAGCCATTATTAAATTCCTACTTCTTTTTTTAGTTCAATTTTAAACAAAAATTGAAAATAGCATTAATTCTGCACATGGCAGTAAAGTTTTTGAAATTTATCCAACTAAATGATGGTCTGTGATCGTTTTGATAACTAACTTCATATTTCTTATTTGTATCATAAGAAGGATGAGTCTTTTTATTCCTTAATTCATTGTTTAAATTTTACCACTCTAATAAATAGAATACAGTTTTCTTTATTAAGGTTGAATTTATAACTTCAAAATTTCTTAACCATTGTTTAAACTTACAGAAATCTCACCTGTTAATCTTCCTTTGGACATTCCATATTTACTCTGTATGATTATAATAATATAAAGCAGGATAAATTAGCTTTAATAGCATTTATTCATTTACCATACATAATCTTATTATTTGTTATTTATATTGCGATCCATTAAAAAAAGGGGTATATTTATTTTTTTTATGGTTTTTATTGTTACTAGAACCTGAAATTCCTCTTTTAGCTCTTAAAAGTGAACTCTTTTTCAGTTGAAAAGCTTACTTATTGAAATGTTAGGTAATAACCTTAATTAATTGTTTAATTTATGCAATCATATATATTCTTTGCAAGCCATCTGCCTTTTTTATGGATTAGGCTACTAATCAATTAGGATATATATTCTTGGTGGGTAAATAATTTAGTTAAATAAACTGCTTATTACAATTAACTTTAAAAATAAATTATTTAATTAACAAAATTTGTTAAATTTATCCATATTTTTTGATAATCACTGTCATTTGTATTTTGAATTCTCAAAAAAACTAAATTTATCATAATATGATATAATCTGATTAATTATATAATATCTTCATTTCATTTGATATTTGATTTCTTGGATTCAATCTTGTTTTTGCTTAAAACATATATAGAATAGTACTGAAATAATTAATGAACTATTATCAATTAATAAATATTAATCCTTTATAGAAAGAATTAGCATAAAGATTTTTAGGATCAAACAAGAAAAAATGTACATAATACAAAGATTATTTATAAAAGTATATGAAAGAAAAGATAGATTTTTGGTAGTTTCTAGAACAAAATTAATTTTGTATATGAAAAAAAAGTAAAAAAAAGTATTTGAGTTAAGTGATATTTCAAAAGCTATCGAAAAGAAAATTCTAAAACTAAATTTCTTTATGGTATGTGAGATATCTTTCATAATAACTTTAGATATTTTTTGATAAGCACAAGAGTGTCTGCAATAATTCAGAATTTGAAAAATATTTTATAGAATGGATTATTAAATTAAAATGTTTAATTATTTAAAGAGATTATTTTTACAATACTTTAGGAACTACATTTATATTATTATAAGTATTTTAGGTTGATTACATCATGTTTTAATAATATAATATATATTAACTAATTTCTTTGAATTTATGTTGTGATACTAATTTGAGGTAAATATATAAAAAAAAAATTACTTGGATTTGATTTCTTTATGTCAAAAGTTAAAAGGAATTTGAATAACATTGCCTTTATGATAATAATAAGTGGAATTCTATAATAAAGTAATTTGAAAATATTTTAAGCTATCTGCTGTCCAACTTCATGCTAAACTTGTTTGGGTAGTACCACAAATTGTGAAAATTGTGCATCAGGTTACTTTTTGATTGATTACCGTTGTTTTGAATGTACTAAACCATGTGCAACTTGTTCAACAAGTATTACAGCCTGCTCTTCTTGTATCGATTCTGTAAATTAATAAACTCCCACTTGTGCATGCAATAGTAGTCTCGTAATGAATGCATCGACCTATCTTTGTGAAAGTTGTCCAATTAATTGTAAAATATGTAGTACTACAACTATATGTACTTAATGTAATGATGGTTATTGGTTAAATATTAACTCATGTAGTCCATGCATAAAACCTTGTGAAAATTGTTCATCGAATGGGAATAATTGTAGTATTGCAGATTTATAAAATTTGATGTATAAATAAAGATTAAATTCTCAGTTTTTTAAATCAATTGTACTTGTGTTGATACTGCAAAACAAACACCATCTCAATGTAATTGTCCATCAGGTTATATAATGGATACTTCAAGTTACTTATGCATTTAATGTGTATTTCCATGTGCTGCATGTTAAACAACAGT